CAAGGGCAGATTGAAACCATTAAATTTCTCATTCTTCTTTGAAATCCACCTCCACTGTGCCTCTCACGTGCAAGGCTCGCCACGTTGATGAAGTTGAGCGCGAGCTGCCCCCATCCCCGTATGCCATAACAGCCCACTTGCACACTGTGAGAGAGGCAGAGTGAAGGGGAAGGTGTTGAACACAGGGAAAAGCTCAAGAATGAGGCTGTCCTTGACGACAGAAAGGACACACATTGTAAGGATGGGGTGGATATAGAAACTCCGACGAAACAGTTTGTCACAGCCCCTCGTTTGTTGTCCTCTTCTATCTCTCTGCCTACGGTTTACCGGGCAGTTCTGTTTGTGACGATATATATAGATATAGTCAACAGAGCTGCCGACTGTAAACCGTAAGCAGAGAGGGAGGGAGAAGAGGACAACAAACGAGGGGCTGTGGCAAACTGTTTCGTTGGAGTTTATATATATATATGGATCTGTCAATACCAACCTCTACTAGAGTCATTTTCTCAAGTGCTCCTCTTTCCAGCTTGCCGTTATGAAGGATTGGTGCACAGATCTGTTAATGCAACGCCAGAAATCAGTACAAGAAAAGCAAACAAGTGATTTTGTGTACGTGTGTGTTCGCACATGTGAGTGTGTACTTGCCTGTGCTGTTGAAAACCACCACACAAGAAAATTTTTAAAAATACATCCTTTACAACTGTTGAAAGACACTTCAAAAAGAGCAAGGTTCCTCACTCTGCATGGTTCAGTAGGCGATGCCCAAAGATGTCTCCGCTTGATGCACACTTGCAGTCGAGAAAACGAATGACACATGCATGCCAACCCCGACCCCGAGCGGGGAGGAAAAAGAGGCACAGGCCTGCGACCCATCCGAGACCACAAAGTCATGGCTACAGTACTAGGGGGACTACAGGTCGCCCCAGTTCCCACCATCTGTTTCCGGAACACAGGCCGCGAGACTTGCACTCACAGCACACAGTGCCACACACATTTTCGGGCCGCACACAAACACCTGATCGCACGAGGCAACACCACAGGCGCTAAACAAATTCCCCCCTGCCACATCCAGAAAACCCTCGTTAAACAACACCACAAGAAGCAGCCCGGCGCCCATACCATGTGCTCTGAAAAGCATATAGCCTTTAAGAGCCATGCTTCCAACGCGTATACTCCCTGACTCTGCCAACCAGGATCTCAGAACGCAGCAACACCAACCGAGCCCCAATTGTCAATGCAGAAAAAACTCCAATACGCTGAAGCAACCTGAATGGTCTCGCAATTCTCCTCATTATACCAGTGGACTCCATCGAAATGCTCTTTCCGTAAGTCATGCTCAGTTGTGAATAAACCAGGCAGCGCTGCATGAATCCAGTCCTTCCACTTTTGATCAGACTCCCATTGATCCAATCAATCCATCCAATCAAGATGAACCCCATATACTGAGCCAAGCCAGTTAACAAAATAAAAACATCCGAAAGAGGGTTGAAAATCAAATGCAAATATGACACCAAACCATGTGGGTAAAACAAAATTAACCCCATGTATGTGTGTGTGTGTGTTGTAGATTTTCACCACAGCAGCCCTTGTGCCACCCTGATGAGTAGATCATAAATTCAAGCAGCTTTACCCATGTGCGTGTATGAGTGTGTTTGTTGTCGTGTTCGCTAAACACAACTCCACAAAAAGTCATGACTGTGACAGACTGTTTCATCCCATCAGGAGGTTCAACCCTGACAGTCTTCCCAGGATGCATCTGACTGATGGGTAGGACTGACCACATCGTCAAGAGTTAGCAATACCCCTGTTTAAAGTGGTCGCCTTCACTCACACCAACCCTGCAATCCTAGTGGACTGTCGGTCCAAACCCCCATCAAAGAATGGCAGTAAATCTCAGAAAATATTCTGCCACAGTCATAAAACCCACTCCACACACCCTTAAACCCACAGATACCGAATGGCATGACCGCTAGTACAGTCCCGACCCTAGCCACATTTGTGTGTGCATGAGTGTGTGTGTGTGTGAGAGAGAGAGAGAGAGAGAGTTGATGCAAGGCCAAGTTGTCACCTCTTGGATAAAAGGTAAATTGTAAGGAAACAGAGAATGAAATGGTGGCCCTTTCCGCTTTGAAAGCATTGCTATTTGGATCTGCTTTTGCACAGAGATAGACACAGAGAGAGAGAGAGAGAGAGAGAGAGAGAGAGAGAGAGAGGGAGGGAGGGAGATCAAAGCCAGGTTGTTGGCTCTTGCAGAAAAGAAACATGAACCGTAAGGCCCTTAGCTATATTAAAAATGTTGGTATTAATTTGAGCCTTCATGTCCGACTTGATTGCTGCATAACAATGCTAGCTGCTGCTAAAATGGTTAACTCATATTGACGGCAGAGCAAGTTGAGGGATGACCATTCCAGCACCCTGCGCCCTTTTCCAACATACAGAACTGACTGTAGAGTGCCTCTTACCTGATAGTTTCGGAACCATATGTGATTATCGAGTACGGTAAAGGAGAAGACATGGTCGAAGAATGGTTTCACTTTCCGATGATCTTTTGGAGTGGTGAATACCTGACGAAAAAAAAAACAGCACATCACATAAAACATAAGACAAGTTTGAAAAAAGAAAAAGAAACAAGTCTAATCAGAGTCATCAGACAACATAAATGAGATCCACTGCAATTGTAAGGCCAAAGTCGTGGCGTATATGAGACTGATAGAATTAGTTTGTTCTTTGGGATTCAAATTTCAAACTCATGATCTGCTCACCGACAGCTACATGTGTGTGCACGATTCACCCACAAATGCTGGGTTAAATGAGACTGGTAATCAGTCCCTTTTTTCGAAGAGTCGCGAAATATGTCTGATTGGGCAAGACCCAACAAACACTCTGAAAAAAAAGGAGCACAAAATAGCGGCAAGCACCTTCTTAAACCACCACTCCCCCCGCCTTGAAAAGTTTGGGGAGACTGGTAGGCCAATTTTTTGAATCGGCATGCGGTCTACCGATAGGTATGTGTGGGGCCCGTCCTTGACTGTGTAAAGGTCCCGCGCGTTTGTTGCCCATTACAGAGCGTTTTTAAAAAGTAGAGCCGCGCGTGTCGGATTGAGTTCCTTTTTTTTTTTTTTTTCGGTTCTTGTTTTTTTCGATTTCTTTTTTATCGTTCCCTTTTTTTTTATTAGTGGAAAAGAAGCGGCACAGCCTGCGTGGATATGGGGTGTCACCACGCTATTCACCACATGTAGAAACAACACCATAAATTGGCCATGTATCTTTTCACGTTCCACAGATAGATTCATTCTCAGTTTCCACATTTGGTTACTAAAGAAGCAAGCTCGATGGATGGCCAGCGGGCGTACACCTGTCGGCGAGTGCTGTGGCATTACAATGCCGATAGATAGGACCTCGCTCCACCACTCTTGACATGTGCAAAACGAGAGCGAATCTTCCGTTAGAACATGGAAAGATACACCACCATGATTTTTGTCTTTTGTGCATGTCGAGAGCAGTGGAGCGAGGCGCATAGGATTCAGGAGAACAAGTCGCCAGATCGCTACCGCCATCAACACCGCTGCCGAATCATCCACAGGGCAATGTATCGAGCTGACATCGCGGATTCAGTTCGGTCTTTGGTTAACCGGCCCTCCACCACTCGCTTGTGCAGTCGGCCTCTCCGCACCCACTGTGGCACTCTGAAGAAAATGGGACTCCCTCTGACCGGTCGAACAGCCACCGGCCGCCACCTAACCCGCGGACCGTGAGGATAGGAAAGCCGAATTTCGGCTGGCGGGGGGAGTGGTGGTTATACCCGAATATGACACCCGGTCATTATAGCTGTATTTTTTGGGGGGGTTGAGGCACCTCTCCATCTAGATGCAGCGATAATGATCGGGCATTCTATTCAGGTGTACCCTCCTGGAAAGGGACACACATCAGATAAAAATTTTAGACACAATCACAGAGGAGTGTATGCATCACGCAGGCACATGAGATTCGCAGATATCACCACCTAGGATATGGGAGGACTGCCTGCATCACATAGGCACCTACCTACCATCTTTCCCTCTAAATCGGATAAAGATTGGCTTCAAAT